AGTATCATTTCTGTCACCCGCGGTCAGAAATATTAAAATTAACTTAATGCAAAATATTTCACTAGAAACAGATAATACATTCAGAAATTTCTTAAAAAATACTCTCGATATTTTATGTTTTGATGAAGATAAATTTTCGATGAAACTTAAGAGCGTTTTTAATTTAGAAATAAATAAATACATTGCTGTATAATTCTTCAAGTTAACATTTAGTACGGCGAAGAAGAATACGTATAACAAAACAGGTGGATTGAATAAAAAATATTATTATTACTTTTTACTGAACAAGATACTTATTTCTATGTTTCATAAAACAGAAAAATGCTTAAAATGAGGCTTTTGATTTTTTATACTTCATATAAATGAAATAAAAGGCAATAAATGTATTATTTAAATTCAATTTTTTTTAAAAAAAAGTTCAATAACATTTCATGGAAAGCTGTTTGGACTTATTTAGGGCTTAACTAAGTAGTTTAAAAAACGATATCTTGATATTTATTAAAACAATTAATTTCTTGCTAGAGTTAAATACAATTGTATTACATTTCAAAAGTTTGTATTAAGTATTTTTATGGTCTGATAAGGAAATTGAATCTGAAATGAATTTGGTTCGCGATGATCAAAATATAATGTATAGTACTGCATTGAATCTCCATATTTCTTTTTTCTTGATGATACATATTTTTATTGAGAAAATTTACATCCTCGTGCACCACAAAGTATCACACTGAGACTTACATGGAACTAAGCGTGAAACACACATCACAAAGAGAAATTTTACAACACAAACATCCATGTCTTACCCTGGATTAAAACCCACACCCTACAGCACCACAGTCAGCGTCACTAACCACTATAACGGATGGACGATCGGATGATGATACTTGCTTAAGAATATTTTCAACTATTTAAAAAAAATTTTTTTTTACTTAACATTATTATAAATGATTCAGTTTTATCTTTCGTCACTACTCGTGCTTTAAAAATTGTCTCCTCTTTGCATTTATAGAGATTGGCACATGTAAAGGGGACTCATCAGAATTTTTTTACCGTTTAATCTTTGGGAACTAAAACATCAAAACGATTTAAAAATATATACGCAGGTTTCATAAGATACTCATGATTGGTGGCGAATGAGTAAGAGTTATATTAACGTCACACAAAAGGCTGCACGAGGGCTATTGCGGATGGTCCTCATAATTGTGATGAAAACGACGCATGAGCTGATAGCCTCTATCCTAACTTCAACACCACAGCAACGTAACGGAGGATGTTTGAGCCTCGGTATAGTTAATAGGCAGTGGTTCCGTTAACATGCCGTATCTTAAGGGGCTCAGCAATAGAGCGTAATTCGTGGAGAAAATCTGTGTCATTGTATTGTTTGAAATGCTAATGTTCAAATCCTGGAAGAATCATCTACAATCCCATGTCGGAATTTGAACGGGGACAGATCATGGGCTACCAGGACTGCGAGTTATCGTTTCGCGATATTACAGCTCGCATGGGCTGTGTTCCCATGATGCCATGCAACCCCAAACTACTAATACCCCGAGAGAACAGAAAAGTTACCGGAGTTGCATGGGCTTGCAATGTCGTACAGCTGCATCATATCTCCTGAGTCCAAAATATATTTCTTTTGCAGGACGACAATTATCTGCGCAGACAGTGTGATGCTGCTTACTGCATCATAGACAGTCTGAAAGGTAATCATTGTCGCATTTTTTTTGACGCTACAGTAAAGATAAGTACGTATTGTAGCACGTTGAAACACAGAAGTGACGCCCCCTTATTTTTTTTCAGATGTATTTTTGATCTGCGCATTGCATCATATTGAACGTATTTTCATATGGAACTTTCTAATACACAATTGTTATTGCCATATGAGTACATCCCTTAGAGCAAAGGTGGGCGGATTTTTCCTGTGTGCGGGCTACTTTTAATGCTTTTAAGGTGTTGGGGTCCACCCAGTGGCGTAGATGTGGTTATTCTGTAATAAAATTACATGTTTTCTTTTCTTGATACTTGTTTTCGACATTGTAGCTGTCTTTTAAAATATATCAGATTACTGTGTTTACTACAAAAACACAAGTAACAAAAAATCGTCAAGTTCAAGATCTTATAGAACTATGGGGGTGACTGATAGACTGTAGAGCGTATTCAATGCAGCGAGCAAAGAACACATACGTATACCTATGAATTTGAAGCATGTACTTAATTTAATCGCTGCGAAGTCTATTGCCTTCGCAGGATATGACATCAACAAAAAAACCCAATCCCGTGAAAGCGTGGGGGCGTAGGATGATGTTTTAGCAGCCAATCAGCACAATTCATTTACATGCCTAACATAGCAGTAATTGCTTTTTCTCTACGGTGTCAGTGAACGTATTAGGCGCCATCCTGTTATTCCTATGAAGGTACATATGACGTCTACACATTTATCGAACCATTTGCTTAAATAAACGCAGTCACATCTATTGTGAAAAGACCATTCTCCAGTCTAACTGGCGTGGGTAATCCATAAATATGATCTTTTAGTATGCATGCCTTAGGTCTTAGTAAAGGCGGTCACCCCAAAATGTCTTGGTGGTCCATCGGGCAATAACTATGGACTAAAATACCCTTTACTGACCTACAGGGATGCTATGAATTACCATTGGGTACACCACTCCCTAGCCACAGAGATTGCTAAATTCTGGAACATCATTTAAGTAATGTGGAATTATGTATGAATATTGGTCATTCAAACACAGTTCGACTCGACAGCTAACTGAATTGCAAGTATTATTATTGCTGCTAAAAAAAGGAAAGAGTTCCTATTATTAAATTTTACACACTGTGTACGCTAATGTTATAGTAAATATATTCATATCTCTCATAAACATATTAAATTATATAATTCCATAAATCCAGTTATTTCCTTTCATTCTTGGTATAACCTTTTTAATAATCAGCTATATATATATATATATATATATATATATATATAGCTGATATACAAATATATATTTATACAAATATATATATAGCTGATATACAAATATATATATATATACAAATATATATATGTATATATATAAATAGCTGATATACAAATATATATATACCAATATATATATATATATATATATTTGTGTGTGTATGTATATATGTTGAATTTGTCTTTTTGATACTATCAAACTCAATTAATTGCAAAAATATTATTCAGGTGAATAATATTATGTGGTACTTTGAAACCTAGATAAAAATGCAGATTGACAAAGAACCTTTCACTTTTTTAAGTATGGAAAATAATTGGTAAACTTTTAATTATCTTTTCTATCTCCCTGTTATCGAAACTTACTTTCTCATTGGCACTGCTAAGACTACCTTGCCAAAGAAGTGATGCGTTCGCAAAGCTGTTTTTTGACATAAATTTCGCGTTTTTCTTCTCTTAATTGGACCTCCTGTCTTTTTATTTAAATATGAAGATAACGGTTAAACTGTCTTTATTAAAAAGTAATTACGCAAAGGATATATTCTGATATCTAATTTATTTAACACATTACAAGCAATTATATTTTTCCTATCGAGTTACATCAAAAAATAATATTTCACCGCATATCTTTATTTGGCTTGGTTAATTTTAAATACCCACTGGGCACACAGTTAATCTGAATATTTTTTTTAATCAAAAGTGTTGTAAAATATTTTTTCTCATCGGTTGTAAGCAAACCATTATCAAATTCCCCAAGATAATACCTCTTTGTATAAATAATTCTTGATTCCTTTTTTTGGTTAAAATATGGGTTCAATGATTTGCTGATTTCTCATCTAAAATGTTATCCATTCAAAACAAATCTTATTTTTGTTAGCACTAAAATACTTTGAATTAAAATTATAAAAGGACAGTGTTTTATATGTTCTTACAAATTTTAGAGTTAGTAATATAGCTTGAAGCAAGCTAGTAAAAAAAACTTACATCTTCAAAAATTCAACCTTTTATTTAAACCTTATTATGGATTTATGATTAAATTGCCTCTGGTAAGCTATAAAATTAGTTTTGGCTCCATGTTGACAGTGCATCATTAGATAGTTTAATATCGAGCGAGCGTAAAACAGAGCACATGTTTCATTTATTTTTCAATAAGTTTAGCGATTACATATGCAGTCAAAAGTTAATGATTTTCGAGTATCTAAAAATTAATAATACATGTGTTGCAATTTTGGGACATTACACTTTTATTGAAACAATATTATAAATTTAAAATTAAACTGCCTCAAGTATTAAGTTACTGATTATAGTATTATACAGAGTAAGGCTTTGAATACATTTATTCGTTAATTTATTTTTGTAGACTAATAAAAAAGCAATATTTTATGATAATATAATAATACCTACATCCTAAATTATAAAGAAATCGCAGAAAAAATAAGATTATTTATTGCATTAGAAAAAATAATCTAAGATCATATAAAATGCCATGGATTGTTAAATCTCGTTCGAAACGGTTTCAATTAATAATTTACCGTAACTGTTAACAAAAGAGAAATATTACTGAACATGTTTCACACGTTTTATTCACACACACACACACACAGTTAGATTAAATATCTACTTATACAATTGGACAAGAAATGTGCAAAATATGTATTTAGGAGTAAAATTGCAGGCACAAAAATACTTTGATTCATAAATAAGGAAAGACTAAGAAAATTTAAAACAATACAATTTCAAATTGCTTACTTTTTTTTTAATTCCTACTATTTGTTCACTCTCTCCCTCTCTCTCTATATACATATATATCTACATATATTTTATTCAAATTTTCAATCGTTAATAAAATACTTTCTTTCATCCATTGAAGTTCAAATATATTTTTTTAAACTTATAGGAGATGACACTTGATGTCAATACAGTTTTTTCAAATATTAATTCATTAATTAAATTAAAAAATGAATAAATAGTATCAAGCAAAAATAATAGCATGGCGGCATATATAGAAAGGAAAATCGTTCGTTGTGTCCTTGTAGCGCGATGAATTGCGCGCGTTGGACTTCTAATCCAAAGGTCGTGGGCTTGAATCCCACCTGGGATCTGGGATATCATTTCTGAGAATGCATTTTTTTTGTTATACTATTTTATTAGAATAATTAAATTTCATTAATGAATAAATAGCTTCAAACAAACAAAAACTAGTCCAACACCCTATATAGAAAAAAATGGAAAATTGCAAGGAAAATCGGTTTTTATTTTGTCACTTAATATTGTTAGTCCATCATATGAATATACATATTTATATTAATTGTAACTATTTAATAAAAAAATTGCTAAAATAAAATTTTTCTTTGTTGACCCAAGTAGGAGTTGACTCTTAAATTTTTTTTTACATTACTTGTTCTTCTTTATTTATGTCAATTATGTGCAATGCAAAAATCACATCTAAACTAAAAGTGAAATATTGATATTTGCAACGATATAGTATCATATGTGAAAAAAAAAAATCCTTAATATAGATAAAAACTACTTGCTCTGCTATGAATGAAAATTTTACCAGAGCAAAGTTCAGCATGTTTTTGAAATGATATTGTATCTTCTTTTTCAAACCATCAGGGAACCTAACATAAATGGATAAAATATGTGTTCAGTACAGATCAATTTGAGCCAAGATGGCTCACTGAGTTTGGCATGGAAAGATACAATTTAATGACTCTACGCTGGTCCCCCTTACATTCCCTCCCCTGCATTACATGATGAGTAACGGCTCAGTGATCGTTGCGAATGGCAGGAAACGCAGCATTAAGGTATATTTGGACCACCCTCCGCCTGCAGAGAATCCCCAAAGAGCAAATTCGAACGTACCTCGCTTTTTCGTCAACTGTGCTTGATTCATGACTAGGAGGTCGTCTTTAAGTGAAAAAATGGAAGTTGTTTTGCATATCTTTATGTTTTTCTTTTACAGAATTTTATTACTTGCGGTCGGAAAATAATCATGTATCAGGCACTCAATGAAAGATGAAGCTGGAAGGAATGTAAAGATGTACTTTTACAGTACTTAGACAGTCGGGTATCTTTTATGGATACTAAAAGCAAAATGCTACTTGTCATTTGGTATAGGAAAAGAAAGGAAATGATAAATCTCTTGTGAATGCAGGATTTTTTTCCGAATATGAGCCTTTAATTCCCTAGGCACTGAATGATCTTTTAAAGGGGAGTATGGAGTATAGAAGGGGTTTATTCAAATTATGTTTTTATCTAGGAAACCAAATAAATTTGAGAAACACGTTTTATCAAATTTCATCATAATTTGGGTATGTATAATCAAGTTAGCATTTTTTATTACTTTTTTAAAAGCTAAGAATGAAGTAGTGAAAGAAAACTCCATATATTTTATTATTTGTTGTTTTAGTTCACATAGACATAAAGGAAAATTCAAATTCGAGTTTGGTATTTTTCCAGTTCTCATTAAAACTACATAAATTGCTTTTACCCTTTCATATTGGTACTTTGTATCATAAAAACAATTTTTCTTCTTTTGAAATGTGATGTTATTTTGTAATTTGTGTAGTGCTTTAGATAAAATTGCGTTCAGTAAATAAAGCATTTCTTCCAAGTTTCAGAATAAGAGTGCTTAAGGGCTATGTTTTAGGAAAACAATTTTTCTAATATTTCATTGCAATAGGGTATGAAACAATAAAGTGAATGCATAAATAATCAATTTAAAGGATAAATATGTATAAATATGAACATCAAAGATAATAACTGTCATAAAATTTTTGTTGAATTCATTGTTCAAAAAACTATTTTTAATAGCTTGAAATAAAATAAAAGCTTGAAAATTTTTCTCTTGTTTCGTATATACACTCTGTCGCAAAAAATATATGCACCCAGAAGAAATCAAGCTACAATCACGAAACTCGGCAAGAATGTAGTCTGGTAAGAGATATGCAAATGATTAAAATTTCGAAGCCAATGAGACAAGATTATTAGTTGCGCAACTGGGAGAGTTTAAAAGCCGGCTATCCAAACGAATCTGATGACTTTTAGATAGACGATATTGAGACTTTGCCTCTAAGACGTAACCGGCGGCAATAGCAGCTGACGGACTTTGATAGGGGCCGTATAATAGGCTTTTGGTCGAATAGACGTATCGGCCGCCACCTCGGTCGGAGCGATAATCGCTCGGTTTGGCAACAGTGGATCACAGAAGGTAGAGTGTACCGTCGCGGAGGGTCAGGACGTCCCAGGAACACAAATGATCGCGAGGATCGTGCAATCAGAAGAGTGGCCACTTCGGCACCAACAACGTCGCTAGCATCGATTCAACGCCACTTACCTCCTTCCAGACATCCAGTGCCATCAAGAGAAACCATAAGGAGACGACTGACCGAAGTTGGCTTGAGGGAGCCGACGTCCGCTAAGACGCTTACCACTGACCCCACATCATAGGCAGTGTCGACTGGATTTTTGCCGACCTCGGGCAACTTGGAGTGTGACAGACTGGAGACGTGTCATCTTCAGTGATGAATCCCGATTCAGTCTCAGTGCTGATGACCACCGCACACGTGTCTGAAGGCGCACCGGCCAGCGGTCCGATCCGGCATTTATTGTCGAGCGGCATAAGCAACAAGGTGTGATTTTTACACACGATCATCTTTAGTGGTCCTTCAAGGCACTTTGACAGCTCGCAGATACGTGGACGATATTTTAACGCCGATTGTGCTACCCATGCTATCAAGTCGCCCAGGTGCCATTTATCAACAGGATAATGCTCGTCCACATACTGCGCGACTCTCCCAACAATGTCTTCAAGGGATATGACGTCCTACCATGGCCTGCCAGGTCACCAGATCTTTCGCCAATAGAGCATGTCTGGACACGCTGGAAGGCAACTGCAGCCGTCCCGAGATACAGGAGAATTAACTGCGCAGATGCAAAGACTCAGGATCTTCCACAGGGGGTCATAAAATCTAATTGAATTGATGGCACGCCGAATTTCGGCTTGTATAGCTGCCAGAGGTGGCTTTACTACTTACTGATTTTTAACCTTTTGCAAGCTGTAACCGCTTAATAAAATGATATTTTGTTCTGAATTTTTAATCATTTGTTTATTTTCATATACACTACATGCATACCAAATTTCGTGAATGTAGCTCAATTTCTTCTGGGTGCATATATTTTTTTGCGACAGAGTGTATTACGTTGCACACATAAGATTACTTTACAGGCCGTATCGAAAACAAAATTTACTACCCAGAAAACAAAATTACTAATTAAATACACTACCCAGACTTACGCGAACCCGGATTTACACGATTTTCAAATCTCGTCAATTCGTCTTTTTTAGAGCCACGTAACTCGATTTCCTGAGGAAATTGATAATGTGATTGAATAAGTTGTGCATCTTGCCAGCCAAATAAATTTAGAAGTGGATACTCATGACGTTTAAGAACAACTAGATTTCTATAATCACGAGCTACCAATTGAAGAGCTCATAGAAATGCATGAGTAAGAAAAAGACATTGAGGAACTTGTGTCTATAGACCCGGTTCAATCGGGAGATTGAATGTTGGTTGGAAATTTGACAAAAGGCCTCAGTTAAATCGAAAGAGGGCTCTAATTTTTTTTAGAAAATATATAGACTCCAACTATCAGCCCTTTTCCGAAATAAAACAAGGAATAAGAATAATTATTAACATGCTAGAGGAAATTTTCTAGAAAAAAAATCTTTGAGTCGGTAGACTATTTTGTTAGATTTTATGAAACCTTTTCTACATCAAAATAACTTCAGTTTGCGATTTTTTTGTGTTATCTAAGATTTTATTAAACACTTTCTTTCTATATTTTTATTTCATTTCATCCTCCGAACCCAAATAAAAATAATTTATATGTATTTTATACAAAATCATACCCTGACTTACACGAGTTCAACCAACGTGGTTATCACTCAGTCCCACCTACCGCGTAAGGTCGCAGTTTTACCGTATTGCAATCGAAATTTTAAAAACAAAGTAATAATTATTTCCTGTACTACAAAATTATTTAAAAATTAATCAAATAAAGTTTACAAAATGAAACAAAAATGTTCATAATTAAGATTTAAATTAATATAATATATACATAAATGTCTGGAGGAATAAGACACAGAAACTAGGATACTTTATTTAATTCAGAATAATGTTGGGTATCATATAATACTCATATGTTACCTTGTTCAAATATGATATTCAATGCAAGATAAAAACAGCCATTATCCATTTTTAACTCATATATTATTAATGATACTACGTGTTTGTTGATATCGATGGATTTGGGAGAGAGGAACTGAATCTCGTCCTACCGCCCAATATCACTTCATTTGACAGAAACAACTATATTATTTATACTGCTATCTCCCCAAATAGACATTACAATTCACAAGAGATGCATCACGCGTCCTGTAAAAATTTTAAAAGAATTATCTTTTCAGCAAGATGAATCTAGAGGGATTGGATTTGGACGATTGATCAAAAGTAATATGCATTAAAGATGCTTTTTTAAAGTCAGGGAAACTCTGTGTGTGAAATATTACTAGAAAAATTGAGTTCCTGTTTTTGTTCAGTCTATAGATGAATGAACTATTTTTGGACTAGATATTGAAGAATTTACTATTAAAAAACATGCCTGTCATTGTGAATAGATTAGTGGAAGACGTGTTAGTGATTTTAACATTGCATTAATCCTTTTATTTTAATTAACTTAATCGCTTAACAAAACAGCAATATTTTGAGTATGTTCATAATTATTTTTATACAATAGATACGTTCCTCGATAAACCATGTAAAACAGTGTTTCTCAAACTGTGGGGCGTGCCTCCCTAGAGGATCGTCATAACCCTACGAGGGGGGTGTAAACCTCTTGAAAAGTTGAAAAAAATTCTTTTAAAAATTATGAACTAGCTGAAAGTAAACAAACAAATACATTTGACATAATAAAAAAATAAAATAATCATTTACAATATAATACACTTATAAATGTATCAGTAGTGCACAATCTATTTTATAATTAGCTTAACAATACAAAGTAAAGGACAAGTTTAATAATTACCAGTGACTCTAT